ATATTAAAGATTTAACAACACGCACCCAAATATGTTTCATTTCTTCAAAATTAGGCAAGTTCAGCCTTATTGTGCAGAAAATCTTCTTTCTATGTCAATTTCAATGTAATAATCCCTCTATAAAGAAGTTACATTTGACTTCACTTGATTATAAGACAAGACATACTACCATAGATGTCTAGTAATCTCTCCCAATTTTCCTCAGACAGTTCTGGTAAAAACTATCATTATGCTTATGAAATTATGTTCCAACTATAAATCACTGTGTTCTATTTTCTGTGTTAAACAAATATTGAAAGATAAAAAGAATTTTTATTCTCCTGCAACCTGTATATACAAAAAATATTCCTGAAGAAAAAATTCAATATCCCTTTGATAAAAACCATAGCCTATATTGGAATAATATATAGTTTTGTATGCTTGCTTTCTAAGTTATACAACTCTCTGTAATTGTTGGCTTCCATATCACAACCGATTCTTCCATACCTATCAGTCTCTTCTGATTAATGCACTAATATTTTCTATAGCATCTGATGTAGTGTGTGTTTCCTTAACTGCAATTTTGTCTCTGTATATCAATGCTTCTCATCACTTTACCCTACCATGATGTTATTCTATAGCCTAACATATTTCATATTCTGTATAAAATTAGAAATAATTTTAAGGCTTTAGAAATATACATTTTAAAAGTATATATTCAGGGTGCACTCTGAAATATTCATATCGGAGCTTCCAGCACAAATGCCAAACAGTACAGCATGCTATTTCCAAATTTCTGGTGGATTGAATTGTGTCATGCTGCTCTTTTTCTCACAGATGGTGTCCAACTGATGCTACTATACTGTGCAGTTGACAAAGTCAAAAACAAACAATGTTTGCATTGTTTGTTGCATGAAATATTAAAATGGCGACAATTTACCCATCGCACTCTCTCTCTCTCTCTCTCTCTCTCTATATATATATATATATATATATATATATACACCTGCGCACACACACACACACACACACACACACAAATGTTTAAAAACAAAGGGGAAGGAAAAGCAAGGATAAAAAAATAATTTATTACCCACTATAAAGTGGTGAGCACAAAAATATAAGAAAAAAAAAAAGCAAGCAAAAACACTAACCAGTTATCACTTCTCACTCTCCAACCCTTTTTGTTTGATTCTTTTTAGTTGTATTTTTGGGGTCCACCACTTTACAGTGAGTAATAAACTTTTTTGCTTATCCTTGTTCTTCCTCTGCCTTGTTTTTATATATATATTTTTTTATATATTTATGTATACTTTTAAAATGTCTGTTTTTAAAGACTTACTAAAATTTTGTGCACACTTACACATTATTTAGGAAGAAAAAATTTATTATATTATAATGAAATTGTAGAAAACAAATAACAAAATTTCCCACATATGAAGAGTGAAAACAGGTTTTAGAATATATGGAAATTTGCAATTCCAATGAAAAAGCCGTTACTTTTATTTTATTTTGCAATTCTCATGCAGGGTAACAACAAACTGTGGGAAAAAGTACTTGACCTCTGTCAATCTGTCATGATATTTGTATGCATTGGGTGGAGGAAATGGAGCAGATTCTCAGTGACTTTACTGAGCAACCCAGGAATGTGAATGTTATATGTCAGTCAATTTCAGGGAATAAACATGGGAAGAACGTCTACACAAATGTCATCAAACCAATCTTCAGAAACTCCAACATGCAGATGGACTATTCTACATTTGGTTTGAAATTAAAAAAAATATCACCTGAAGAAGGCCAGAGCATACAATGTCTGAAACATTGTGAATACAACAATAAAGATGAGGATAATAGTTTGAACAATATAAATAGTATAAATAGTTACAATACAGGAATATCGACAAACATTGTACATGTATTAAATAAATTAGCTTTTCAGGTTCTGTTCAGTATATATAAACAGAAATCTTTAAACTATTAAAGTTCTTTTATTTATATAAATCTTTATAATTCATATTTGAAGAAGAAAACTCCAAAGAGTTAATGAATTAATTCTATAAATGAGGAATTCTAAACTATAAATAATCCAAAATGTGTTGAAAACAACAATTTATGTTATAATCTGATTTGACACTTTGGAAACAGGGCATCATGATATTTTCCAATCTCTCTGGCAGAATACTGAAAGAGAATTAGCCTCAACTTTTTCATCTTAATTTACCATAAATCCATTTTGCCTGAAAATTTTTCTTTTCTTTCTCTGTCAGCAAAAAAGAAAGTTAATATTACAGTCATAATTATTATTGAAAGTAATATTTTGATTTTAGAAAAGGATTTCAAGTTTCAGATCATTTCATTAAAAGAATATCAATTCATGAAACTGTTGTACCTTACTATTAGATCAGTATTTATTTATTCAATTTGTGTCCACCAATCAAAGTTGTAGACAACTGCTTGAGGCAATTTAAACTGACAGCTAAAGCACATTGCTAATCAAAAACTATATGAAACCTTTTATATATTTTGAAAATTGACAAAAAAGGAAAAAGAACCCTTCAGACTTCATAAAGATCCCCACTAAAAATAATGAAGCAAGCTCTAATAAGCAACTTATATTAGAAACTGAATACAAAATAACTTGTATAAGAAAGCAGCATTTCTAATAATTGATTAAAAAGAAGAAAACAAAGAAAAAACAACTTTCACCGGCTAACCTGTACCCAAAACTAACACTGAGCCACATATAACATTAAGCTATACCCAAAACAACCATGATTCAAAACCTTTATCTAGCTTGAAATAACCATGTGGTGGTTAAAGAGCCATTAAGCAGAAACAAAACAAAACCAATTGTCCATCAAAATTAATACATTTAACCAAAGATCACTTTAAAATAATTATCAAACCAGTAATTAACATTTACAATATGAGAGGTAATTACAATTATTGTGAGTCCATACAGTTTATCTTGCTTTCTTTATCTAGAAATATGATTAAATTGGGTTTAAAATTTTCAGATTCAATAGTTAAGCACTGATGCATTTTATAAAGAGTTGGGAATCTGAGAATACTGAGCAGTATAAGTAGAGAACTGGTACCCTTTAGACTATCATCTGTTTTAGGAAAACTCTTGCTATCAACTATCCATTCCAGCTGCTAGCTATGATGTAACTAGAAATCAATCAAGTACAAATTCTTCAATATCTTCATAAAAATTGTTGTTTATCGTCTTAAATCATTGCATAGCTTTTTTTTTCTGCATTTTTAGTACATAAGATGTAGAAATTGTTTGATTCTATTATGGAACTAAACAGTAGGTTTATTTTTGGCAATAAGATCAACCACTTCAGATATCAAAATAACTATAACTAAAATTACTAGCAAACAATAAGTACAATTTACCTTTTAGTATAAAATCTAGCTACAACCAAATGATACCACAAAAAATAAGATCTGTATTATTTGTATGTTGTATATTATTTCATACAAATATCTGTAAGGATATTTGATCCTCTGTGTGTGTGCGTGTGTGTGTAAAAAGGAATAAGAAAAAGAGAAAAACTATGAGGTATAGAAAATCAAAACAATGTTCATGAGAGGGGGTGAAAGAGAAAGAGAATAATTTGGTGTTTACCATTCCTTTCTCTTTGAATGATTCTGTCTCTTCTAACCCTTCAGCATTGGTTCTGTGCAGCTAAATTGATTGGAACATAGTGCTGTGGAGAAGAGCGGTGAAATGGAAGGAGGGAAGGTGTTTTAGTGTTTGTTTTATTCCTGTTGAAGGCTTGTATCTCAGTGAATCTGTCAGAAGCCCAGAATAAACGACTGCCCTGGTTGTACTTGTTGCCAGCTTCGGCAGCATTCACTCTATTGAATGGTACTCTGTTAACACCCGTCTTCATGGAGTAAAGCTGCTGCCTACGGTAGTTACTTGACCACTTGGCACTAATCTAAATCTTTTCTCTTCACCTCTCCTGCCTCAGCCTTATCTGTTAAATTGTCATCCAGATTCATCTCCTTTGTACGGCTCTCCTCTCACCTCTGTTTGGCCTCTTTCAACCGATTCTGCTTTGCCCCCTCTGAACATGTTTCTGTCTTCGGCTTTCTCTATTACTCCCTTTATGGAGTCTAGGTGACTTTAGGAAGTTGAATTGAAGAACCTCGAAATAGATTTTAACCAGATTTCTCTTCTCTTATATAATCAGTTTCCAACCTGGGTCAAGCAAGTTCTCTTTCTTCTGCCCAGTTTTTCAAAAGATTTGTTATATCTGTTCTCTGATCATTTCAAGATTTAAACTTCTTAAATTTTTGTCAGATACATCAAGTTTGAAATCTTTTCAATTGGTTTGTTGTTTCAAATTTCTTTATACTAAACTTCACCCACTGCAAGTCTTTTTATTGTTTCATTTTCTACAGTTTATTAACCATTTGCAGGTTATCTAAAATTAGAAAAAAGTTTTAGATTGTAAGAATTTGGGTGGAGGAGGGGGTGGAGATAATAATGATTTAGTGACATAAGTTACTTATTAACCCATAGCTGGGGGTGGAGAAGAAGTGGATTCATACCTAATCATAATTTAATAAACAAACAAGAAATTATGATGTGGAGATAAAGTGGGGGATCTATTCTATATTACAGTCAATATATAAACTGTTCCCTCACTTTATAGCAGTAGTTTCTGTTTATTTATATTCCAGCGGATGTAAATAAATCTAAAAGACATACCTGTGTAGCTAATCAGTATTTGATTGATTTATTCATTCATTTTCCATGATTTATCAACCTTTTTCAGGTTATTTAACACAGGAAAATATTTTTAGATTTTAAGAATTTGGGGTGGGAAGATAAAAATTATTTAGACTTACTAATTGACCCATAGCTGGGAGGAAGAGGTGGATCATACTTTTCCCAAGAATATTTTGCACATAAATGAATATAACAAACTCAATGGAAATTTGAACTCAGCTTGCCGTTTAACAATTATGAGCCATTATCTATTACACCACCCGCACATTCAAGTATACAGCACCCAGTATTTCCAAGCAGTCACCCATCTAGGTACTGACCAGGCTCGATATTGCTTAACTTCAGTGATTGTATAAGAACTAGTGTTTCAATTTCATATGGCCATAAGCCACTACAAGTCTTGATAGTCACCAAATATATAGGGTTGCTATTAAAATGTTTATGGTGAGTGAGGTGTGTGCTATGAATGAAAGAGGGGGTGATAGGAAGTGAGGATAAGGAGAATATAGATAGGGATTAACCTTTGATTTGAAATAGTTAAGATTGTAGTTTTCAGGGAAGCATCCAAGCAGGAGCCTGCACCACAAAGTAGAAGTTCTTGCGGAAAATAAACTGTCTTAGAAGAGCTTTTGCCTTACATTTGGGATATACAGGAAAGTGTAGCACAACATTGTGTAAATAGCATGGCATGTCTAATTGTAAACCTCTGAACTAGTGAAACTAAAGAATGGACCTTGTCTCAGCTTTTGCCATGGAAATAGTGATTGATAGGCTTGTGACATTGCATCTGTAGGAAAACTATATATTATTTCTTATCAGTTATTTAATTTGCTAATCTCAACAAGTATTTGTAATTCTTGCTTATGGCCCCCAGCCAAGATTAGACAGAGTTAACATTACTTACATGATAAAAAAAAGAGTCAGTGTTAAAAAGCATTTGATTAGCGTATTCTCCAAATTTCTTATCAAGTAAAACACATTATCTGAACTTTTTACTTACAGCATGAAATATTTTACAAGAAAAAATTTGTATGATAATCAGCACTAATTCATTTATAATACAAGCTTTGTTGCTTATGATTTATTTTTAATGATAACACAAAACACCTACAAAATATATAAAATTACTAAAATTTAATATATTTCAAGGTGAGCAGACAAGAAAGTGCACAATAGAATTCGAGTGAAAAAAAAGTTAAAAAATGAATGAGTTTGAACTTATTTTTCAACCACTTCAACATTTCATGCATGCACCACTCATCAGAGTCAGATAAATCTATTAAAATGTTGTCGGATATCATATTTATACTCAACATAAGAAACTAATTATAGATTCCAAACAAATATGAAATTTGAAATTTGTACTATCATAAAATCCATTAAGAATCTGACAACATTTAAATATTCATAAGCATTATATGATTATATTAGAAATTTAAAATGTTTGATTTTTATATATGTGTGTGTGTGTGTGTATGTAGAGGTACGACTGTTAATAGAAAATGAATAACATGACTGCTACAAAATAAAGAAGTTTTTATTTCCTTTTCTTTTTACAACACAAGAACTTGTGGAAATATCTGATAACAAAAATTAATCATTCATGTTTTGTTTTTCTTTAAAGTCTCTGCGAGTTATAGAAAAATATCAGCAGCTGTATGGCATTAAAAGCATTTATCACCAAGTTGAGAATCATAATTTGATACTGTTCATTCAGCAGTCAAAAGAGCAGGCTGCTGGTGAGACACAGTTTTGTTCATCTTGCCGGACAAGTAAACTGTTCTGAAGTGGTTTGAAAATATTCTCATTTTTTAAATGTTCTGATAGGATCATGCACATTAGTTCCACAAATTTCTTATGAAGAGCGACCACATATTTTTTTGTACACCCAATTGATAACAATATGTGGTTGAGCGTTTTATTTTTTTGAAAATGTGCATAGACATTTTTATATATTGAGAATTGTGCCAAAGTTGATTCAATTTTTCTAGAATTTTCCTTGATGGGAAATCGCATCATTTCCTATATATATATATATATATATATATATATATATATATATATATATATAGGTTCAGCCCAACACAAAAAGGTAGCCCAATGGCTCTACACACTTTTGGATCCTGTGTTGCAGTGCCTGGATGGTTTTTGTATCAAGGATTCCTTTTCCTTTGTCTCCATCGCGTCTAGGAAATTTGTCTTCTTCTGGTAAGTTCATGTGCTCTTTCGATGTTTGCTCCTTGTATACTTGTGTTCCTTTGATGGAAAACATCGATGTTTGCTGTGACTTTCTCTATCGCAGTTCATTGATTCCACCTAGTTTTCCTGAGTCAATATTTCGGGAATTGATGAAATTTGCTACGTCCTCTGTCGAATTCAGTTTCAACAATACTATGTACCGACAGATCGACGGAGTCACTATGGGCTCGCCTTTGGGTCCGGCACTTGCCAACATATTTGTTGGCTTCCAGGAAGAAAAGATATGAAAGAATCCACCTTGTCCTCAACTGTACTATCGGTATGTTGATGACACCTTTTGTTTATTTAATGGTGAAGTTGAGGCTGACCAGTTTCTTTCATTTTTAAATGGTATCCATCCGGCACTGAGGTTCACTATTGAATAAGAGTCCAATCATCAATTGGCCTTTTTGGATGTACTAGTACACCGTACATTAACAGGTTTTCTTACTTCCGTTTATTGCAGGGTTATACACGTGTTGGGACTCTTTTTGTCCCACTAAGCGCAAGATCAACATTATTAAAACCCTCCTACACAGAGCATTAAAGATCTGCAGTGAGCCTTTCTTGAACGACAAAATTAACTTTATTAAGGATACCCTATGTAATTTGGGTTATCCTCTTGATAATGTTAATTCAGTTATCCGTAGTAAAGTTGAAGAGTTCAGAAGTGCCGATCTCTACACTGTCAAAAAATGCCCTGTTTACCTCAGATTACCCTGGATCGGTACCAAATGTGAAAAAATAGCTAAACAAATTTCATCCAAGGTTCGTGGTTGTTTTTTCTCTGCTGAAGTTCGGATTATTTTTCAAACTTTGCCTATGTTTCGAGCTGCGTGTAAAGATGTTCTCCCTCCCCACCAAATTAATACAATTATTTACAAATACGTTTGTAGTTGCAAAGCCGATTACATAGGGTGAACAACTCAGCACTCAGACATGAGAATAAAACAACACGTTCTTACTACAATTAGAAACCACACCCTGCCTTTGAATGGACTCATCCCAAACACCTACAGTTCCGCCATATGCGAACATCTATTAAATAGCAGAGATTGTGCAGCCAAATTTAGTGTTGACTGGTTCACCGTGTTGGCCTGGTCTCACTCTTTATTTCATCTGAAGGTTCTGGAGGCACTTTACATCGGGTCCTGCAAGCCTTCTTTGTGCAAACAACGTGAGTGTTTGCTGGGACTCGCTGTCATCTGTCTCTAGTTCCTTCTGCATTTATATATATATATATATATATATATATATATATTTTTTTCCCTAATTCCTTATTGTACATTTTTCTGTATTAATTTTGAATCTCCCGTTGAAGCCTGAAGAGCAGGAGCGAAACCGGTTGCTTCCCCCCTCGTTATTGTTTTTTTTTATTTTTTATTTTTGTGTTTAATATGTCTTGTAATATTAAATTATATACTTTTATTTCGATCATTAAATTTGTACCTACAAAATATCTTTAAATATATATATATATATATATATATATATATATACTGGCTCTATTTTGTATATTTTTATATTTTACATCAAGCACTCTCTTTACAATGTCCCTGTTTGCATTTATTATATAACACACACACACACACACACACACACATATATATATATATATATATATATATATATATATATATATATATATATATATATATATATATATATATATATATATATATATATATATATATATATATATAGACAGAGAGACTGGTAAAAAAATGTATGCATGCTTCAGGAAAGGAAAAACTTGTATAGATATTATAATACTAAATTTATTCAGACATCACAAGATTAATACAAGTTACCTTTGGACTCTACAATCACAAGAGATGCTCAAAATGGTGGTGTTTAGCTTTCAAACATTTATTATTACAGTGAAATACTGCTTGGGCAAAGTTAGCCAAAGTTTGCAGTTGGATTGCTGCACATGAATTTTCAATTTTTTTTCTAAGTGCTGTAAATGTAATGCCATCTGTCAACCAAAATATCATTCTACAGTAAAGATTGTTATCACTATTTGAGAAAACTATGAAAGACAAGTTTTTCATTTCCAGAAGCGTGATTACATTTTTTTGGCAGATGCTGTATATAATTTTGTTGTTATAAAAGGTAAAATCTTAGAAATAAAATACTCATCAAATTCACGAATGGTCAAATAATTTGGAATATTAGACACACTTATATGATCTTTATATTAAAAATTAATTATTATTTATTTGTTTATGTTTAATTATTTATTTGTTTGTTTTTATTTATTGGATATTGTTTATTTTATATTACTGACTCAAAATAAAGTATTATTTAATACTAAAACCATGACAACATTTAATACTAAAACCATGACATTTAATACTAAATAACTATCTAATAGTAAAACCATGACAACATTTAACTGACCGATTCTATTAAAAGTATTTATATATATAAAAAAACATAGGAAGATAAATTCGATAAAAATTCTGAAATTCCAAAATTACTGATTATTTACTTGTTTATTTTTAAATTATCTTTTATAGACTTAAAAGTATTCATAGGGTTTACATACAGATGGAAAAAACTTTTTACTATTGTATGGTCACTCATTTATATACAAGCCAAATTAAACCTTGCTGAACTTTTATGATCAACGAGGAATTAATATTGCCAACCATTTTGATAAATATATACGATGAATAATTTCAACAGTCATAAAATAAAAAGAAATTCTACACTACACATTGGAAGATGACCCATAATATAAACCAATCAAATATTTTATGGTTGTAAGATACAAAGGAAGAATATGAGGTCTAAATAAACAAACTTATGACAATACGATCAAAGCTAGAAATCTATTCATTGGATATGGAAATGCCTTTCAGTTTCCCTAGCAAAGGCTTGAATAGTTTAATTTTCAGATGCAAGATGATTGATCAATTGTGGGGAAATGACAGTGGAGTGAAAGAAGCTACCATGCTGAAAACTTTTTTTTTTGTTGAGTACTATTCATAATTATGCAATTCAAATTCACCTTAGATTCTTGACACAATGCCATTCATAGCGGAGGTGAGAAATCTCTGGTGGAAAACCTGAAAGAGATTCAGCCTGAATTTTTCCATCTTGTTTTACAGCAAATCCAGTTTGTCTGATGCAGCCATCTTGC